GCCTGGTAAGCCTGCAGCAGTGACATTGTATGAAGGCACGCTGCAGCCTGACCAGCCGCTGAAGAAGCCTTACCCACCAAAGCTGATGTTACTCTATACTAGCTTGGGTAATACCGGGGCCTTGAGGGAAGATGCTGATTCAGGGGAGAGATAGCTCGCGAGCATCTCTTCCACCTTTGGCATCTCCCCATAACCGCGCTCTTTATAGTTTGAAATAGAGGACTAGTGTTTGTGGACTAAGAAACTGGTTTCTCCCACGATTTCGACACCTCAGTGTGGAGATCGGGGAAAAAACGGAAGGCCCCGGCATTGAGGTTGTGAACGAGAGGGCTGGAAGCGTTCATATAGTTTGCTTTTAGAACGAATGTCCTGCTTATCTGCCGGCCAATCGATGCTTAATCTGTCGACCGCTCTCATTACAACCTCCACGTCCCTTAAAAGCATGAGTCTGAGGTGGCGAGTCCTCAGTATCTCCTGCTTCGACACTAAAAACATATAATTCCTTGAAACAAGATAGCTGTAGTGTCTGTGTCTCAATCGGGCGGAAGTAACCGAAGCGCGTGATTCCAAACCCTGAGAGAAGGCACTGGATCTGTCAGGTGAAGGCAGAGTCTGAAGCCTTCGCTGTGCGTCAGCAGAAGCGGGACCTCAGCCTTGGGGAACGCGAGCCTGGGCGTCCTCGCTAAAGAATGCCAGGCGGGATTGGAGTGTCCGCAATGGAAGCACATCACAGTGCTCACAGCCAGCGCCCTCGAGCGGTGACCGTGCATGCTCCTTACCCAAACAAACAACACACAAAACATGTGTGTTCCCACCCGTTAAATACCACCCGGGCAGGGGTGCACACACATTCTGAACTGCTGCTGCTTACTCGCCATAACTGAATATATATATATATATATATATATATACAGACAACACCAAATAGACAAAAACAGTTTCACATAGACCGCTTGTGAAGACACAGAAGCTAGCGCTGCTTTGTTCGGATAGGCTTTATAGTTTCCTGGTTCATGACGTCACCCGCCTCTGACGTTCCGCCACACCATTGGACTGATTTTACATGTGCTTCAGGACATCATCACGCAAAGCGTCAAGACAAGGCTGTATCACGCAGGAGCGTTCCCTTTCAAGGGAACTTGCGCTGCGTCGAAACGCTGTGGGAACGCCTCTGCGTGATTGCATCGTGAAGCACGTATGAAATCAGTCTAATGGTATTCTTCTTCTCTGCTCTCCACTGGAGAATCTGCCCAGGAAGGAGCTTCTTTCTCATGCGAAGGGGGCGATACTTCACCCTAGGGCTGGGCGATAAAACGATAACGATAATTATCGCGATATGATTTTTCTCGATAAAACGATATCAAGAGTTCGATAAATGTTCGATAATGTGTTTGCGCCAAAAGCGGAACGAAACTCATTTGAACCGCGCGCGCCTCACGGACTGTTTATCCGCTCGGCTCAAACCATAGGTCCAAACGGCAGCGCGCGCAAGCTCACTAGAGCAGAGCGTTTACTCTGAGCGGCCTCGCTCACGAGATCCAGTGAGAAGCGCTTGAAAAAGCGAAGAACACAAACGTCTCAGTGTTTTAAACCAGTTTAAAGGCAGATGAAACAGCGCTGACAAACAGGAGAAACACTGTGATACAGTCAGAATATGAATTGATACTGAATCCGTTTACCATGGATTGACTGTAAGGTTAGCCTAGTAATATTAACTGCACCATGAAATGTGGGATATACACATTGAATTGTATTATATTATTAATGTAGACAATGTTTTAAATGACTAATGGAATATAATTACAGTATTTAATAATGTATTTAGGCTACTTTTTTTCATACAAATACCATAGAAACCATAAAGTTACATTTTGCCATGATAGTGAGGTGCTATAGGCTATGCCTGGCTTTATCTGTGGTTATCATGATCTAAATGCATGATACTGGATGACCATAGGTTCATTTTAATAAAACTCAGAATATTACATTTTACCAAATAAAAATGTGGTAGTTAAATTTTTTTTAACACATGTTACTGTTTTTGTTAATGAACATAAATTTAACATAGTAGTATTAGCTTGAGTTAGGATGCAGATTTACTGTCTATTCATTGTCAAATATGCATTTTGAGACAAAACATGTAATATTAATATTGCAGCCTGCACTGTAAACTGTGCTGAAGATACATGCCATCAAAGTCAGGCAACACAAACCTGTTTCAAGACTTAACAATATCCCCCATTAGCACATGCAGAAACTAAGAAATATACTTTTCTATTCAGATATTTATTTTGTTAAGGAAAAATGACAAATGATATTTTACCTCAGATTTGTGAAATGTTCACCTGTTTGGCAAGTGTTTGTCATGATATGTTCTGACAATAAAGAGTAGTTTAAAACCACAATTAACGCTCTGGTTTCTACAAATTTCACTTAGGAGCAAAAATCTGCCTTTAAACTTGAAAGAAATAAAGATTTGACATTTATCGTGATAATTATCGATATCGACTGATATAAAAAAATTATCGTGATAATTTTTTTTGGGCCATATCGCCCAGCCCTACTTCACCCCCGCCCAGAGTTGTGGAAGCTGTGGGCTTGGCCTGTGAGGGGGCCCAGCTCATAAGTTCAGGTCTCTCAACAGGTTGTTGAGACCATCCTCCACTCCAGAGCTCCGTCCACGAGGAAACTCTATGCCTTGAAGTGGAGATTATTCACTTCATGGTGCGGAAGTCACCAGTTGGACCCAGTTAACTGCCCAGTGGGTGCAGTCTTGGACAGATTTCATACGTGCTTCACGAAGCATTAACACAGAAGCATTCCCACAGCGTTTTGACACAGCGTCCTGTTCCCTCTTCAGGGAGCTAAGGTTACATACGTTACAGAGAAATTTCCCTTTCAGATGCAAAAATTATGGGAGGAGAGTATTTAAATGAATCACGCAAGGTGATTTACTAAGTTTTGCGCTCGTCAATTTACTGGTATTTGCGCCATTATTTACCCCCCCCCCCCCCCCCCCACACACACACAAAAAAGCATGTCTTAAACCAGACACTAATTTGCACTGCTCCTGGTAGATTGCGTTGGTCATTATGGAAATGATCTGACTGCGTCGGCGTTCTTTCATTTGTGCGTCGTCAGTAGATCATGCACAGAACTTTCCACTCCCATCTGAGCTTTTTTTGGAATTCGCGCTCTCACACTAATTTGCCCTATTTAGTAAATCTGGACCTCAAAGTATATTACCTTTAAATGTAATTTCAAATAACACATTTACTGTTAAAATTATAATAAGGTATATGTGCTTTATTATGTTAGTCAACATCAAAGTAAGTGTACTTTTTTAAACCATGACAAAAGATTATTTAGACATAATGATTCACAATGTTCTTTAGAAAACAAGCGAAACATTTAATTGGACATTATTACAAACTAAGTGCACCTTTTAAAAGTGTACCTAAGTAACATGAAATGAAAGTCTACTCTATTTAAGTACGTCTAAGTGGCCTTTTATTTCTTTAATATTGTATTACCTGCAAGTCATTTTTATTATATACTTTTATTATTTGAAGGACACTATAAGTGCACATTCAATACAAATAAGTGCACTTCCTTTTCACATAGCAATAGTTCGTTGAAAATTGTTGTCATTTCTACATTTTTATTGTCATTGTGATAAATATGAAGGAAACATGAGTGAATTAGTGATGTCTGATTTGGAATATTTTCTCTTTTTTTTGGATCTGTTTATAATTGGTTGATTTGTTCATGAACTGGACTGATTCGTTTTTTCTGAACTCAATGCAAATGTCAGTCTGTTCATCAAACAAAGCTCATCGTATTACTTCAAAAAGAGGAAAATAGTGCACATGTCATAAACCACAGTTAAAATACATATGGTGTTTTTGTGTCCTTTTTGAAGCTTGAAAGCTTCAGTCCCCATTCCCCCATTCACTGTAATTGCATATAAAAGAGTGAAGTGAACAGAACAATATTAAAACATGTATTTTCCTTACCAGAAAGAAATGGTTTGAAATGACACATGGATGAAATAATTTTTATTGTCTGTTAATTAATTATTTATATAATTAATATATTTACATTTATTTAAAATGTCCTACTTCTTTACATTCCTCTGTACATAACTGTATATATATACAGTTTGTATCTCTTCTCTTCTCTGATGACGTATACTGGCGTGAAGTTGGGACAACCTGGTCTATAATTTATCATATCATAAAACACAACATATTACAATTCTGACTTCCTAGAGTATGTAGAAACTTCCCAAGATTGTCAGAAACACACAATACACACATCGCACTGTAAATTAGCCAATAAAGATAATGTCTGGAGACAACTTCAGTGTGTAACTGGGTCTTCTTAGCTAATCTAGAATCCTGAGGGTTTAAATTAGATCTGAAAAGACGGTTCGCCTACTTGATCAGCAAATGTATTTGTCAGCATCTTACTTTCATAACTGTGAAGTTGTGAACCCAGAATGTACATTATTTGGATCAGCTCAGATTATAGCTCAGTTAAAAACTGGGGTTTTAGTGGGTGTATAAAGTCAGTTCACTTCAAATTCACACAGGTGTCAGAATAACCTGTGGGGGGGGGGGGAGTGCTGTGCAAATTTTCATTAAAATAAATGGCACTTTATGACATCCAATGATATTCATTAATTTTTTTTAGTGTGACTTAAATCTTCTTCTTTTTTTTTCTATCATTCGATGTAGGCTAGCATGTAATTAATAACCGTTAAATGAAACACACACACAGTAATATGACCTACGTTCAAGAATTTTTCAATGAACACAAATGACAACAACCCATGGGCTACTTTAACCAACACAACTTTAGTTCGATCTTTCTTTGCAGGCAAGACTTTAGGAACACAAAATCCAGTTAACAAGTGTGCTTACATGAACTAAACTTGTGTTTTAACAATCAAACATCACAACAATAGAAACGTATGCATAATACAGAAGATGTCTTACCTGGAGAATGACAAGGAACAGAAGCGCTATGCCTTTACATACAGTTTTGACAGAAAGACATCCCATCTTAATTCACGAATCCTGATATTCCTGAGCAGCGATCCTCATATCATCTTCAGATAAGTTTCCCCGCGACTTTTCTCAACGATGAACCTCTTTAAACTGTCAGGCTGGTCTTTGTCAAAACCGCACCGAGCACTGATGTGAGAGAGGTGTGAGCTCTTGCTGTCACCAGAGTTAAATGTTCCTGTTACGGGGAACTAATGGCATCGCTTCACTACATCACAAAAAAAAAATATTGACTGCTATTCCGCCCCCTAAGTCCAAACAGGAAGTTAAAATGTTCACTATTTTAAACAGGCCACTGTAAAGCGCAAACTTCATGAAAGGAATTTTTTTTTGTCAATTATTATTTTTTCTTTTGGCAATATCCAATGAGGCTATGTTTTTTTTTTTTTTTTTACTGAATATAACTTGTGTTTATCGTTTCTCTTAATTCCTTTCATTTCCCCTGTTCAAGTTGCACTATATAGATAATATGATATAACATTGATATTGATATAGTCAGAGACATGGAGGTGGTCAATTGTTTATATACTCTATTAAACTCCTTGGCCCAACAAATTCATTTCATTGTAACTGACTATTGTAATGTTTCTCTTCCTGTAGATCCAGAGCCCATTCTAAACATGTTTACTTAAGTTCGGGACGAAAATAGTCCTAATTATACTTGCGCAATGCCCATGAGAGGAATGACCATGTTTGCACACAAATATTTAGAAGTTCTGAAGCTTTTCTTGGAGATTCAGTGTTTACTATGGTGACCGTATGATATCGCTTCGGATTCATCTTTGTAAAGGGCCATGGAGAGATGCCCACGGGCCCTGTCACTGTCCCATGTCTCCTGGGTCTGGTTCCTCTCAGGGAGGTCATTATCCAGCTTCAATTAAAAACCAGTGGGCACCATGTAATCAAAGAAACCCAAGGCACCAACATACAGATCATATCATTATATGCCCAACTTTCTTTGAATCCGTAAAATGTTACAATATTGTTATTTTCGCTGTCCTGTTAGTTACGTCAAAATGTCAATCAGCACTAATTTACTTTTGAGTTACAATATTGTGTTACTCCTTAAAAAAGTAACTATTACTTAGTTACTTTTTATGGAAAGTAAGGTGTTAGGTCACTTTTAGGGTTATACTTTTTCTTACTTGGGATGGGCTTGTTTGTTTGTTCTATTTTTGAAAAATGTAAATGCCCCTTCACACCAAAAATGTATATGCAAAAGGAAAATGCAAATTCCTGTCTGTACAGTAAAGAGTGCAGCTCAACTAAACGCTTCAGCTGTGCTGCCATCCTTGATTTGCAGAAGGAAGCAGAAGAATATTCAACACTTTTACATTAGCAACAAAAACAAAAATTAAACAAATGAAATGTTTATCTAAAGTAATTTTTGCTTATTAGTATGGTTGAACTGGATCATCGAAAGTCAGCAGTGAAGACATTGGTTAATAAAGTGAGATAATAAGTCACATTTGTATTATTTAACATATTTAATTACTGCAGGTTTGCTTGTTCAGGGCTTATATAGGTATTTGGTTTGAAACTTACTTTGTTACTGTTAAACAAGTACATAAATGCATATCGTATGAATGAAATTCAAATGTTTGCCATGTTGTCCCTGTCATGTGACCTACGGTGTCAGTTGTGTCGCTTCCAAGCAAGCGATAGTCATCATTTCACCATCTAGGTTCACTTTAGACTATGAGTAACCCACTTCTAGCCAAAATAACCTTGAATTTGGTTACATGTCGTTTTTGCCAAAAATAACTTGCGAGATGTAGCAAAGTCAACAGGAATTATATGGTGTTTGGTTTCATTTCTTTGACACGTTCAATGCGTAGCCTGTGCATCTATTCTTGGGCCATGGTTAGACATCCATCAAATTTCCACAGACAGCCCAAATTTTGCATTGTTTTTGCCTAGACTGTGTTTGAGAGTGCCCTTTTTCTTGGTTTGGGCCACCGCTGGGCTTCAAAATGTCTGTGACATTTTGGAGCCCGTTCTTACATAGATTACTCAGTTATCTGGATTTTACTGTGGACGATTTGACATGATCCAGGATTGTACTGGATACGGGAGATGTTGCACATTGGTGGTGGTTGACGAGATTCCCCCTATCCATATGTTAAGTGCTTTGAGTAACCATAAAAGTGCTATCAATGTAAAAAAAATTATTATTATTATTAATATTAATATTACGTTGCTGTCTTTCCGCAAGCCAATCGCTGCATTGCTAATCATGGTTTCGATTATCGATAAATCTGCTCTTTCCAATGAACACAATAACAGTCAGTAATCCTAAGGTTACTTTACATGACAAGGATGTACTAAAAATGGAAACGTTTTTCTTTGTGCAGATGACAATGTTATCAAAACGATCCCTATTCACACGGATTCGTGAAAACGTCTATAAACGTTGTAGTATGCATGCCAGGCCAGTAGTTGGCGATGTCACTTTGTAAAGACAGATTACTGAACAAGGCTGAACATGCCGTCACCGTTTTCACAGATTCACGTTTTTGTGTTTTACACAGAGACGAAAACTGTATCATTTTCAAAAACGTGCACTTTGAAACCCGTTTTCAAAAGCTTGCGTTTTAAGGCCAAAACAGCCAAAACACATCAAAGGTTTTCCGTTTTAGTTGAAAACATTGTCGTGTACTCTCGACCCTCAGTCTCAGACAGTTTAATCCAGATATGTTAATCAAATATGCAAATTCGTTTGAAGAACCAAGTTAGCTAGGGATCAGTTACCACAATAGAACTAAGAGCTGGCATCTGTCAACCCTGCTGAAAAATACAGCATAAACCAACATGGATTCCAGGCTGGTTTATGATGGTTAGTGTTCGTATGCTGGTCCAGGCTGTTTTATGCTGGTTAATGTTGGTAGAGTGCTGGTTTATGCTGGTTAGTGTTGGTATAGTGATGGTCCAGATTGGTTTATGATGGTATGGTGCTCGTCCAGGCTGGTTTATGATGGTATAGTGCTGGTCCAGGCTGGTTTATGCTGGTATACTGCTGGTCCAGGCTGGTTTATGCTGGTATACTGCTGGTCCAGACTGGTTTATGCTGGTATACTGCTGGTCCAGGCTGGTTTATGCTGGTATACTGCTGGTCCAGGCTGGTTTATGCTGGTATAGTGCTGGTCTAGGCTGGTTTATGCTGGTATAGTGCTGGTCTAGGCTGGTTTATGCTGGTATAGTGCTGGTCTAGGCTGGTTTATGCTGGTATAGTGCTGGTCTAGGCTGGTTTATGCTGGTATAGTGCTGGTCCAGGCTGGTTTATGCTGGTTAGTGTTGGCATAGAGCTGGTTTATGCTGGTATAGTGCTGGTCCAGGCTTACGATGCTATTTTCTTCTGAAAACAAACTTTGTTGTATTGTTTTCCTGTTATTACTGTAAAGCTGCTTTGAAACAATCTGTATTGTAAAAAGCCCCATATAAATAAAGGTGACTTGACTTGACTAACCAGCATAAACCAGCCTGGACCAGCACTATACCACCATAAAACAGCATTAACCAGCACTATACCATCATAAACCATCATAAACCAGCACTATACCATCATAAAGCAGCCTGGTCCAGGCTGGTTTATGCTGGTTAGTGTTACTATAGTGCTGGTACAGGGTGCTTTATGATGGTATAGTGCTGGTTTATGCTGGTTTATGCTGGTTAGTCAAGTCAAGTCACCTTTTTTTATATGGGGCTTTTTACAATACAGATTGTTTCAAAGCAGCTTTACAGTAATAACAGGAAAATAATACAACAACGTTTGTTTCCAGAAGAAAATAGCATCACAATCCAGCTTAAGTAAGTTCAGTGATGTTTCATTTTTGTTGTAAAAAAGTTATTAATTTAGTTAATTTATAAATAGCTGCTCTGGAGAAAACAGTGACGTCATCGTCCATCTCAGTTCTGTTCTCATATAATGGTGTCAATGTAGGCAGATCAATAATATTGTTGAATATTAAATTAAATGTCCCCAACTAAGCAAGCCAAAATCCAATGGCGACAAAGGCGAAAAAGGCGACAGTGGCAAGGAACTAAAACTGCATCAGTGACAGAATGGAGAAAGAAACCTTGGTAGAAACCAATCTCAGTCGGGGGCCAGTTCTCCTCTGACCAACGAACGAACTGTGTATGATTATGATTCAGGCAGCATTACAGGTCAGAAGTCAGATTGGATCAGAACATTCAGAATATTATCCAGTCCCCTCTGGTTGAAGATCTGAGTCGTCACGCGGGTATGGAGACGAGTTTGTTGAGGATAGTGCCGATGGTTGTCTTGTCGATGAGGCCTAGTTTTGATATACTGCTGGTCCAGGCTGGTTTATGCTGGTATGGTGCTGGTCCAGGCTGGTTTATGATGGTATGGTGCTCGTCCAGGCTGGTTTATGATAGTATGGTGCTCGTCCAGGCTGGTTTATGCTGGTATAGTGCTGGTCCAGGCTGGTTTATGATGGTATGGTGCTCGTCCAGGCTGTTTTATGATGGTATGGTGCTCGTCCAGGCTGGTTTATGCTGGTATAGTGCTGGTCCAGGCTGGTTTATGATGGTATGGTGCTCGTCCAGGCTGGTTTATGATGGTATGGTGCTCGTCCAGGCTGGTTTATGCTGGTATCCTGCTGGTCCAGGCTGGTTTATGCTGGTATAGTGCTGGTCCAGGCTGGTTTATGATGGTATGGTGCTCGTCCAGGCTGGTTTATGCTGGTATATTGCTGGTCCAGGCTGGTTTATGATGGTATGGTGCTCGTCCAGGCTGGTTTATGATGGTATGGTGCTCGTCCAGGCTGGTTTATGATGGTATGGTGCTCGTCCAGGCTGGTTTAGGCTGGTATATTGCTGGTCCAGGCTGGTTTATGATGGTATGGTGCTCGTCCAGGCTGGTTTATGATGGTATGGTGCTCGTCCAGGCTGGTTTATGATGGTATGGTGCTCGTCCAGGCTGGTTTATGCTGGTATAGTGCTGGTCCAGGCTGGTTTATGCTGGTATAGTGCTGGTCAGGCTGGTTTATGATGGTATTGCTGGTCTAGCTGGTGCAAACCGGAGCTGGTGTAGCTGGTCTTGAGTGTGAGTAGGCCAGTTGTCTGTGTGCAAGCAATGTTTTGGGGACAAGCATTGTTTTTGCTTGCATATTTCTGTGTTTAACACATTAATGATGTAAAGGAAAAAAATATATAAAGTTAAAACATATGATTTATTGAATTATTAAAACACTTTAATTTCTTTTGCTCCCTCTGCCGAAAGTAGAACTGAAATTTTCAATCGTTTTAGTTATGATTACATTATCAATCAAAGTCACTGATTTTATTTGCAGTTGATTTATAAGGCTAGTATCGCTGTAAGTCAGTTGGTTGCTGTATTCTCTGCTTATCTTCCCTTTTTTCTGTTCTTGTTGTTCCTCTTTTTTTTAACGATTCTAGTTGTTAACCACAGGTGTCATAACTAATGCTCAATCATTACTTGTAAAGTGAATCTTTATTTCGCTAACTGCAACACTGCTTTAGTGTTACTTTTACTCTCTATAGATTGGGACAGTGTTTGTTTATCACTGGATATTTTACAGTGCACCAGTAAACATGTAACCTGCAACATGCATTTTTCTTAGCAGAATAGCAGAACACTATCCACATTCAAGATTAGCTGGGAATATTCTTGCGTTGTTCCACTGCGCTAGTTTGGAAATGCTTTTACGCTAGAGCAGGCGTGTTAAACTCATTTTAGGTTGAGGGTCGGATGGGAAAAAATTTGACCATGTGAATTACCTTTTTTAAACCTTAGTGCGCTGACAATTAGCCTACATTATTATAAACCATACACACTACAAATAAATAAAACTCGTAAAACACTCTGCTCTGTGAAAACTGCTTTTTCACAGTGAAAAGACTTTATCCCACTAAACATTTGAGGTCAGATAGATGTGCAGATCATGTCTATATTGGGTCTGTCGGTCCATGACCAATTCTAGACATCTATTCGACGTCTAAACTTGGTCCACTATTCGGACGTCCAACCATGACCCAACTTGAACGTCATATTGACGTTCAACATTTGACCAACTGGGTAATTTTTTTGGACGTCGTGCGCATTTAAATGCAAGAACACTTTCTGTGTGAATGACCCCAAAGTTAATACAGTCGTGCTCAGAATTAATGGCACCCCTGGTAAATATGTTCAAAACTGGCGGTAAAAAATAAATCTGCATCGTTTATCCTTTTGATCTTTCATTCAAAAAATTGCCAAAAATCTAACCTTAAAATGAAGTAAAAGAATTGAAAGTGGGGGGGAAATCACATTATGAAATAAATGTTTTTCGCCAAAACACGTTGGCCACAATTATTGCCCCCCTTTTATTAAATACTTTTTGCAATCTCCTTTTGCCAAGAGACCAGCTCTGAGTCTTCTCCTATAATGCCTGATGAGTTTGGAGAAACACCTGACAAGAGATTAGTGACCATTCCTCCATACAGAATCTCTCCAGATCCTGCAGATTCCCAGATCCATGTTGGTGGCTTGGTGCTTCTTCTCTTCAGTTCACTCCACTAATCAGGTCAGGGAACTGGGACGGTCATGGCAGAAGCTTCATTTTGTGCTCCGTAACAAATGTTTGTGTTGATTTTGATGTTTGTTTTGGATCACTGTCCTGATGGAAGATCCAACCACAGCCCATTATAAGATTTCTAGCAGAAGGCGTCAGGTTAATCTGATTTTTTATCTGTTGATATTTGATGGAATCCACAATGCCATGTATCTGAACAAGAAGTCCAGGACCTCCAGCAGAAAAATATGCCCACAACATTAAAGATCCAACGGTTTATTAAATTGTACACATGCGGTACTTTTTATCCTTGTGTGCACCAAACCCATCTAGCGTGTTTGCTGCCAAAAAGCTCCCCCCCCCACTTTCAATTCTTTTCCTTCAAGATTTTTGGCAATTTTTTTAATGAAAGATCAAAAGGAGAAACGATGCAGATTTATTTTTTACAGCCGGTTTTGATCATATTTACCAGGGGTGCCATTAATTCTGAGCACGACTGTATGATGTTGCCATTAATCACCAATTATAATAATCCATTAACTACAAGGATGGATTCTGTGCTGTAAAGTGTAACTTTCAGATACACTTTCAAGATAAAGTGATTGACCTCGCCTGATTAGAACCTTGTGTAAAGAGAACCAAAAATTCCCTTTGTTTTAAATGTAATTTCAAAGGCAGAACCAGGAGTCACGAAATTCTTGAAATGCTATACTCCAGCCAGGTGTGTAGGAATGCAGGACTGATCAGTTCTCGGGTGTCCCGCAACCCGAAGGCCGCTGGATATTGGCCTTTCTTTAGATCATTAACTCTGTATTTACTTAGTTTTCTTTTCCTGAATACCAGTCTTTGGCCTTGTGAGAAAAAAAGTCAGGTTATACAGAACAGTAACAGGTACACTATTGCCAACTGATTCCCACACAACTTTCCATAATCGTTAATAAAAGTCTAACTTACTTATGGTCAGTCATCATAGCCTACTTTTCCTGAGAATACAATCTTGCTCTTATGCAGTGGCGAATAAATAACCTTGACTTGCATGGTGTATTTTGCATGTTATGCAACTTTATCCATGAGTTTTATCTGGTTCTGTATGTATACTGTATCATAAAGCATTTATTGTTTTACTCTAATTACAGACCCATACTTACCATCTTACACTAAAATAAAATAAAATAAAACTTAATTAAGTATGATATTTTTTTTAAACTGATAATCTAAAAAAATGAAAATAAACTATTTCAATGTTTATGGTTTAAAAACGTTTTATGTCATATATCTGTAAAATGCTTGCTTACAAATAAAATGTGCTCCTAATAAGTTTGCACATGAAGTAGACAGCAGTGTCGGTGAATAAAATGCTTGAGATGAACACATGTGATGCGAGAAAGAAAACAAAGAAAAAATAAGATAATAATAATTTGTGAACTGAATATTTTTATTATGCACGGTTTCTAATCAAGCTGGTTTTCAAATTATGTTTATAACGTCAACTGTATCACAATCATTTCCATTACACAATGCTTTTAAACACAACATAGGCTATAATTGATAGAAATAACAAGTAGCGGAAATATTGAAAAAAAGAATAAAAATGACAGTTCTTCTGCGATGCACATATGCTCACTGTTAGGCATTGTTTGAAAACCAGAGTAAATCGAAAATGTTCCATTTGCAGGAAGTGACTTATAAATGCTTGAAGAGTGTAATTCATCCTTTTGCCGCTAGATGACAGACCTTCACTGTAGCAAAAAATACCATAGTTAGTTCTCTCCCTCCTCCAGAAGAGGGCGCTCGTTTAGAGACGTTCTACACTGTCATACATCCTATATTTACAGCAAATAGAATTTGAACTGTACAATTAAAGGTATAGTTCACCCAAAACAAAAACGTCTCTTATTGCTTACCCTCAAATTTTTCTAAACCTGTATGAGTTTATTTCTTCTGTTGAACACAAAAGAAGATATTTTGTAGAATGTCGGTAATCAGACAGTTGATGGTAGCCATTGACTTCCATAGTAGATAAAAAAAAATACAATGGAAGTCAATGGGGTCCATAAACTGTCTGGTTATCAACATTCTTCAGAATAGCTTCTTTTGTTAACACCATAAGAAGAAGAAAAAAACACTCATTCAGGTTTGGAACAAACGGTGAGTAAATGATGACAACATTTTCATTTTTGGGTGAACTATCCCTTTAACATTGCCATTAAATGTATTCCCATTTGACCCACTTTTAAGTATTACACTAGTATTTCATTAGCATAATGCTAACAGTAGGCCTATTACACTAAAAGTTCACTTTCCTATGCTCATTTGTTGGTAGTTTATTTTCGTTCAAAGAAACAAAACAGCTGTAAATATTCAGTATCGGGTTTATCTCATGTCCAGCGAGTGACCTACAAAGTGCGCACTAACCCTAACACGCTCTCTCTTTAAAACCTCAGTGTCCCTTTAATCTGCGGATCAGCGCGCTGACGTCAGCGAACCCCCAGGGCCACGCGCTCCCATTGGCTGGAGGTGACGTCAACGGCATTTTTTTCCCTCCTGAACCATGACCTCATCCTTAGTTCATTTATAGTGCCTAAGTGCACCTTCTGTTTTCCCGGCTGGCTAATGTCTACTATCGCTTATCTCTCTTTTCGTTACGGCGTCACCCGCTGGCCCAGTTGCGCTGTAGAAGAATGAACAGGTTTTAATGGTTTTGTTATTCGCATGTGTGTGACAGACAGCAGTACAGACTCATGGTTAGTATACACTAGTGACGTCTGCTGGCGAATGGCTTCCCATCGGAGCGCAGTGCCCTACATGGAGAGCAGCTGAAACACTCGGGACCAGGGCAAACGGAGGTGAGTGCAGGCTATGAAAGGGGCGTATTGATATTTGAGACCTCACATTTAGGCATATGGCTTTATTTTGTTGATAGTCGAAGAGAGACTGTGGTTTTTGGGGGGATGGACGTACTGGCGTGTATCGACCACTAGTGTCTCGTCTGAATGAGGGCAACAATGTGCCTCAATGACATGTTAAACCAGACAGTGTGGTCATCACAATGTATCATCAATCGGCCATCGTTTATTGTTGAATAGGTATTGTATGGTCATCGTCATCTCATGACAGATTATATTGCATGTTTGTCTTCTGATTTGAGTGAGGCTTGTCATGCATGTCTGGGAGCCTTGTGTCCTCTGGATGTACATCATCAGGTTTATTGTACATTTCATTTACTTGAAGGATGTCTATTATGTCCATAATACTGTACCTATATATATATATATATGTCAATAACATTAAACAATAATAACAAAACAACACATTCTATAAATATAAACATGATATTATTTATTGTGATCCTTAATTTATTAACAATATCAATAATGATATATGCTGTTGTTATTAGTAGCCTAATATAACAATATAATATGCATTTAATTATAATTATTTTGATCACCTGAAAGTCCTATTAACATGCAATTTTATATGTATAATTGATTTTTTTATTTAATTGAATTTGATTTACTTTGTAATATATAACGTCTATTATAACCTATATACAATATAATATTTAGTTTGAATAATTATTATTAACAGTAACAATAATAATATGTCGTCATTATTGTTATTGGTAATAATTTAACAACATAATATAAAAAAGTAATAGACATAAAAATATGTAGTTTTCTATATTATAGTTTTTTATATTATATATCAATACAGCCATTAAATGATTAATCATAGATATTGACATTATAATATATAAAATATGGTGTTATTTATTTTGATAATTAGTAATATGCTTTTATTATGTTATTATAATGTATACGTTCTCTAGTCTATAAATTAGCTTTATTGTTACATAAATATAGCACAAATGTTCTAATAATGCTCAGATAGATAGATAGATAGATAGATAGATAGATAGATAGATAGATAGATAGATAGATAGATAGATAGATAGATAGATAGATAGATAGATAGATAGATAGTGTATTAATCTCAGGCTGCAGGGTTTAGATCTTGCTCTGTGTTTTATTATTACAGTGATTATGATTTTTGAGTGAGCGCACATGGTTATAATTTGTCTCAGAAGGAAAACTTTGAGAACGTTGTCTTTCTTTATGGTAAATAAGGACATAATTGATGCATTGATTTGAAATGCTGTGATATATTTGTGTGATTTGAAATGTTATGAAACTAAAAAGCTCTTGCTCCATAATGTAAACGGCAGATTGGCCCATGTTACCAAATCCAGTTCATCACAACAGATGATATCACTGCAACAATGATTAACAAACACATGCAGGCTCAGACAGAACAATGGTCTATATCAGCGTGCGTATGGCACAGAGTCCAAATAAGTGATGTCATCCATATAGTTAATGAATAACCCGGATTAAGATATTTTGCTTTCTTTTATCTTCCATTCGGTGATGTTTGTTGGCTGTTGTTCAGGTGCAGTCTGTCATTATAAAGCAATCGCTGTCACTTTAAATAGAGATGCGCTTCTCTTTGTTTTGCTGTCATGGGCCATTTCAGCTAAAAAGAAAAAACTAGATTTGTTTTTTTTTTTTTGTCGTTTCCTGACATGCTACTCGGAAGTAGCATCAAATCCCTGGAAATCAATAGAACAGATGTTTGGTGTGTTTCTTGCTTTGGGATGTGAGGCGACAGCCTCCGCAACCTCTCCGCATGCCCAGACAACTTTTTTCCTTTTCCGTTTTTATATTCCGTTGCCATGGCAACTGTGTAGTCTCACTCTGTCTCCACATCAGCACTTTGCACCACTGTTGTTTATGCCGGTGTTTTTGATGAAGTAAAGAAATACAGTCTGGAATAATTCAGATTTTTTTTCTGTGTGTCTTTGAAATAAGTCTCTTCTGCTCAGTAAGGCTGTTTTTATTTGATCAAAAAAATACAGTAAATCAGGGAAATATTATTACAGTGCAAAATAACTGTTAGGTATTTGAATCTATTTTAAAACATAATTTATTCCTGTGATGCAAAGCTGAACTTTCAGCATCATTACTCACATGTCACATGATCAATCAGAAATCACTCTAATATGCTGATTTGCTGCTCAAGAAACATTTATTATTGTTGTTATTTTTATTATCAGTCTTGAAAACAGTTTTAGTTTAATATTTTTGTGGAAGATTTAGCAAGAATGCATTAAATTTATATTATTCATTAAAAAAATCCTGAAAAAAAGTATCACAGTTTCCACAACGATACTAAGCAGAATAAGAACCATTATTAATAATTGAGTACCAAAAATGATTTATAATAATTAAGCACCATATCCTCATTTTAGAATCATTTCTGAAGGGTCATGTGAAACTGAAAACTGTGGTAATGATGCTAAAAAAAGGAATACATTCTAATTGTTAGTTAATATTAGTTAATGCATTAACTAATGGAACATTATTGTAAAGTGTTACCTATTACTGTTTTACTGTATTTTTGATCAAATAAATGTGAGGATAAAATAAAATGTAAAAAAATTGTCCGGTAGAGGAAAATATGCAATGCAACTAAAATAAAAAAGCATGTCACACCTTGTCGTCTTTGAAAATGCAAGACAGGTGTACTGTAAAAAAATCTTTTCTTGATTTGTTATTATCGCAACTTTTTTTTCTTTCAACTTTGATAATTAATGCAGATAACATAATATTTTGACTTTCTGTTTATTAAACCAATCTCCTTCATTGTATTAACTCAAATATGTTATTTCAATGAACTCAAAATTAAGGCGACCAGGTAACTTGGGCTACTTTTTTAAGTTAAACCAACAATCATTTTTGTACAGTGAACAAGGTCGGTGGCCTCGAGAGAATACACACACCTTCTCATTTCGACATACACAGTGTCAAACTGCAGTGCACAGCCTCAACCCTGCCACTGGAGTTGTCAAGCCGAAGGAACGCCATTAGACACATGCAGCGTCAGCCTTGTTATTCTCTGACGTGCCTCCACTTCTTCCTCTCATCCTGCGGGCCGCGGGGGGGCTGTTGTCATGCTATCGACCGTCCGATTGCAGGAGAGGTTACAGTGAGGGTTTCTTTCCTCCAAGGTGTGGCTGTACATCCTTCCTGTGGAGCGATTAAAGAGACAGAAGGGTGGTAAGGAGGTTTTCGGTCTCTGGTGGATTATTGCCTGTCTGGAATCCTGCATGTGTTTGTGTTCTGGTGAGAATATGCAGGTTATGGTGACTGGGATGGTGATCAAAACAAAGGCGTCCATGTTGGGATGCTGGTTGCGTGAGGCTGGTCCTCTGGCAGCGTCGCTCTCGCACCGCACTGGGTTTGTATATGTGGACGTGATGTGAAACGAGCCGTTTCATTATGAAACTGATGGATTATTATTTGACTTACAACTGTTTAGAGAGAAACACTGATAGTGCGAAGTGAAATGGAGATTGTGTGTGTGCGTTTGTTTATGTTCTTAAACATTCTGCTGGAATAATTGTTTTTCTTCTTTTGTTTCCTATATAGCAAAAAGTCCTTTATTTATATATATATGTGTGTGTGTGTGTGTGTGCCTCAATCTCTCCCTCGTGATTTCTGCAAGGCGCTGCAGATATCTGAGCGTTGCAGCATCACCCTCCCTCAATGCAGCAGCAGAGAGAATGAGAAATAGACAGAAAGATAAAGTGTGAAAGTTTGAAGCAGCTTATATTCAAGGTTATTATTGTTAACAAAAACTATTACAAAGATTTTGATTTTGATTTTTGAACAAAAATTAAACAAACTGTAAATGTGCACTAAAATACAAATAAAAACTCAATACATTTTCATCATTCTTAGTTTTTTTCCATAGTTTTTTTTAAAGTAAAATAACAACTAAAACATTTGCAAGTGAACGAAAACTAAATAAACTATAAATGTGCGCTAAAATACAATTGAAATCTGGGTTAAAATGATTTTTTTTCATTCGTTTTTTCTTAATAGTGTTTTTTGTTTATTTTTTTAAGTAAAATAAAAACAAAATGTTTGCAAGCGGACAAAAACGAAAACTATAAATGCGTGATAAAATACAATGAAAACTTAATAAAACTGGATAAAAATAGTCATGCTTGTTTCTTTATATATTTTTTTGTTTAGTTTTAAGTAAAATAAAAACAAAATGTTTGCAAGCGGACAAAAACGAAAACTATAAATGCGTGATAAAATACAATGAAAACTTAATAAAACTGGATAAAAATAGTCATGCTTGTTTCTTTATATATATATTTTTTGTTTAGTTTTAAGTAAAATAAAAACCAAAACATTTGCACACAGAAACTCTTTTGGAGTTTAAAAAGTCTTCATAGATGTTTGGTAATTTTTTGAGTTTTCGTATTTTCAATCAATGTCGGAAGGACTGCTTTAATTCATCTCTTAAAGGTAGCGTATAGGCAATGTTTTTCATAAACACTTTTTGTTATACTGGTTGAAACTCTCTTCAAATCCTGATAGCATATATAGATAGATACATATATCTTATTTTGGAAGTCTGAGGACCAAAACATTTTTGTCCAATCATTGCATTCGGTCCAAATTCAATGATAGGATGTCCTACCTGCCTGTCAACCTATTGCAAACCTTCACACACCTGCTCACGCAGACATAACACGTCATCAGCGCGGTTCATGAGACAAATGCAGAGTTAGACAGATGTCAGTCACAGAGCACCGCAAACAAACACTTTTACAGTTCCTCCTGAACCAAGACAACAAGCTTTTACTATGTTCACGCCATATGTCATAATTACCGATAATTACGAGATGGCAACCTGTGACGTTCTACTCTGAACTGTTAAGGGCCCCTATCATGGATTTTTGAAATGACCTTTCATGTAGTGTGTAACATAG